GTGATATTCAACATATAGGGTGTTGAACGAGTGATATATGATAAATTTTTCAAGACATAGAAAAATAAGCTTCGTGAATTTTAACAGATAGATAAATTGGGTGATTTCAAGATATATGGTGATTTCAAAAGATAGACAGATAGGTTAATTTTAACATATAGTTGTCAGTTTGGATAAATTGTGTCCTTTTGGTCCAAAGATATTGGGAAATTCTATTTCCACATACAATTTTAGCTCTGTGCACATCATATCCCAGTTCATACATTTAATGAATTTGAAATTTTTTTTTTTACTCGGTACACACTACGCCAAAACTGGGCATTAACGGCGGTTTTTTTAACGGCGGTTTTTGTTTCGCTGCTAAAGCCCTCTCATTACCGCCGTTAATGACGGCGGTCTTTGCCGGCGGAGCTCCGACAAAACTCCAGCGAGTGGTGACCAAAACTGGGCATTAACGGCGGTTTCGTTACCGCCGTTAAAAAAATCGCTGCTAAAGCCCTCTCATTACCGCCGTTAATGACGGCGGTCTTTGCCGGCGGAGCTCCGACAAAACTCCAGCGAGTGGTGACCACGCGCGGCCAAAGATTGAACATGACCATCTACAATAAAGCAAAAGTAATGTTTAAATATTTATTTAGGGAATATATTTCATGAAGAGTGGCTATGGTAGAGTAGTTGGTGTGGGTGGATAAGAGGTTGAGGGTTCAAGACTTGGGGGAGTGCAAGAAGAAAGAATTATTTTTTGAAAAATTTGAACCTATTTACGGCAGTAAAGAACCGTCGTTTTTGGTCCTATATTACCGCCGTTTTTGGTTGACTTTTAATGACAGTAATTTACCTTTTTATGACGGTTGTACTTTTCCCGACACGCGCATAAACGGCGGTAATAAAACCTTTACAGCCTTTAACGACGGTAAAAAACCACCGCTAAAGCCTAATTTTGGCGTAGTGACACAATCATTTATACCAAAAATACCTTCTTCTTCATCCTTCCACCACTAACGCTAATCTCTAACCCTAACTAGTCACTGTCACCACCTCCACCATAGCTGCCGCTATAGCCCGTTCTAAAATACAATGCACTGTTTCCAAACTTTCTATTGTCTATACAACTAGAGAATTCACACTTGAATTGCTCCCTAATTGATATAATTTATTCTGAAAGACTCAACTGTTGCATGCAATTAAAAAGAAAAACTGCAAACTTGACACACCTAACTTCATCTCTCTGGATAAACTTTTTTAAATAGCTTCTAACCATTGATTGCACTTGCTCATTTTCTACATTAAAGCGGCTCACCTCTCTATATCTATATAGGGACATGCTATCATTAGTAATGCTTGATCTGCTACCACATGGATGGAGTTGTTGCTCGTAACCCAATCTTGAATTCATACCCTTACTGAGGCGGTCAAGGGAGGAGACTAGTGGTGGTGCAATGACTGGTTAGGGTTAGAAATTTTTGAGTGGGTTGTAATCCAGGGTTTTGGATGTGGAAGATAAAAGGATATTTTGATATTTTTATTTTAGGATAAAAATGCAATTAATTTCCTTTTTTTATTAAATGTGTGGAGTGAGAAAATTTTGTGCAGGAAAATAGAATTTAGAAACAGACTTTTGATTTGATTGTCTTTTTTAAAAACTCAACAGAATAAGGTGATTATGATTTGAACCAAGAAAGGTGAATGAGGGTGAAAAAAAAAAAAAAAAAAACTAGAAATTCCGCTTTTGGTTTGGCTTCAGAATCACACTTTTTTTATTTATATTTTTTGTGTTAGTTTTAAGTGGTTTTAGAATGAGCTTTTGAATTTTATTTATTTATTTATTTTGTAAAACCAAAAGCTGTGTTAGAAAACGATTTCAAAAAGGTTGATAAGCTGATTCAAATTGAGGAATTGTAGAAGCAACTTTTTATTAGCAAACAAATATAATAAAATAAATAAAAACTTCATCCATACTAAACTTTATTTGGATTTTTATTGTAATTTTTTTTGTTTTTGTTTTATGACAATGAGGAATCTCTCAAAGTGGACTGCATTAGATTTAACCCTGCCCGGTAAATTGTAAATATTTACAATCATTCATAAGTCATAATTATCGAATAGGACAATGTGTTATTAGTGATAATTGAACTCAATACCTCTGAATTTATAATTGGAATAAGATGTTTATTTACTAGGGTTTTGTTAATGTGTACCAAAGCTTAACAATGTTAGGTATCATGAAAAATCTTTCATAAAAATAATTATGAAAACTTTGTGGTCCTTAAATTACACTTAAAATAAAGCACCACACACTAATTAAGATAATTCAAGAATCATAAATATTTCATGATCATTTTCATAAATTTTTTTTCAAAATCCCTAACTTTCCTCTATGTTTAATTGTCATTCCTTCTTTTCTCATCGATTCAGCATTTTGTTTTGTTTAATGTTTTCTCTCTTCGTTGGCTTGACAGTAGTAAATCCAATGTGGGACCACCCACAAGAATCAAAATTGGATACATACAGATTCTATTTGGATTTTTTTTTAATATTATTTATTCATTTATTTGAGGTGAGGATATATTTTAGTGTGGCTTCTTTTGGATGCTTTTTTTACTAGCTTTTGTATTGTAGCTTGTAATTAACCTTTTTCAAAGGGGCCCTATTTTACTATCCATTAAAATAACAATTTTGTGATTTAATTCCATGATGTTGGTGTAAAAGCCAGATAATTACTTCTAAAAATTAGTTCTTAGTTGGGTAGCTCAATAAATACCTAGATTTCATTTTTATCTATATAAATTATCGAAAAATTTATGGACTTCAATTTTTGGCATGCGGTAATTTTTTTATTTTGCTTATTAAGCACTATTGACTTTTCATATTAGATTTGCCTTTTCTTTATCGAGACAGATCTTTTGTCTAGATTCTTTTATGACCTTTTATCTTAAAAGATGTGTCTCTACCACACAATCAAAGTGAGAGAGATTGGCACAAAATTCTTTCATGACCTTGTATTCTAAAAGATGTTTTTACCACACAATCAAAGTGAGAAAGACTCGCATTAACTCTCTCTTACACCTTTGTATTTGGCATTAACCTCCGTTATATTTTCTTCTAGTTATACCCTACCTCTACACCTTTGTCTTTTTATTCTCTCCCAATTTGATTTTGTGGATCCTTAGTTTTAGTTTTGAGAAGGATTATTACCAGAATTGTTATGATTGTTTTCATTATCTTTTAGGTCGGTGTGTACCCATCTAATTTGAAAACAACCGTTAAAGCAACCAAACAGCTCTATCAATTTAACATGGCTACGGCCATTCAGAACTTGAATCGTCAAATGTTTTTTAAGAAATTTGTTTAGGAAATGCGACAATCTTATGGAGAGAATGGCCAAACAATGGTTTCAAAACATTCAATTCTCTGGAAAAAGAATCTTAACTGACTCCGATGATTCCGATGTTGAACAAGTGGGTTTGATGGTTCATTTCGAAAATAATATCCAGAAGGCCTTCGGTAAGAAAACGAAACTTGAGTTTTTGTTAAAGAGTTACAATTAAATTAAAATTTCTCTTTGGAAATGGTTGTTGCATTTATTATTTGAACTTTCAAAATTTAGAACACATTATTTATAAATAAAAAAAAAATTCAAAGTACAACTAGTATTTTTTGGAGGATTTTTTTAACAAGTATTTTTAGGGAATTTGTTAATAAACTTAAAATAATTGTACATTCTTTATGAGATTGTATCTTAAACAATATACAATCTTTTTAAATTTTAGTAACCAAGGACACTCAATAACACCCTTTTTAGAAAACAAAATTGATGAGTTAGGTTTTTTTTATTGTTAATTATGCATATCATTCTAGTAAAATTGATTAATTAGATCTTTTTATGGATTGGCTTAAGAGCAACTACTTCAACCTAAGGTTGGGTTTGAAATCTTAACCCAACCAATACAACCTTAAGTTGTAATTAAACATGCAAATAGGGTAATAAAAAAAATGCAAATAATGACTACAAAAACATAGTCAATGATAAACCAATTTTAAATATAAAAAATATACCAAAATTTCCTTTATTAGTTTTTTAACAAACTTAGTTAAAACATGGCAAAGCTACCCCTGAAATGTTTGGAATTTACATATTTGATGGTTTTTTTTTTCTTCTTTTTTTTGGCTTATGTTTGTATTTAATGAATTTTTTTTTAAAATTTTTTAAAAAGTTTTAGTCTTCTAACAAATAGGGTAATAAAAAAAAATGCAAATAATGACTACAAAAACATAGTCAATGATAAACCAATTTTAAATATAAAAAATGTACCAAAATTTCCTTTATTAGTTTTTTAACAAACTTAGTTAAAACATGGCAAAGCTACCCCTGAAATGTTTGGAATTTACATATTTGATGGTTTTTTTTTTCTTCTTTTTTTTGGCTTATGTTTGTATTTAATGAATTTTTTTTTAAAATTTTTTAAAAAGTTTTAGTCTTCTAGATTAAGCTCGACAAGACAATAAATTTTTTAAAAAGTTCATAAAAGACAGCAATAAACCGAAATAGTGAACTTTTTTTTTCTTATTTTGGATTTTTAATTTTTTTTATAATTTTTTTTAAAAAAATGGTTTTTAGACTCTTACAACAAGACGGACCGGAAAAGCAAATTTTTTAACATAATTTTAAAAAAATATATCACTAAAGACAAAAAAATGCAAAAAAAAAAAGAAAAAAGGAAGTAACTTTTATAGAAGTTCCGAAACAGAATTTATATGAATTTGGTTGTGTCTAATCTGTTGTGATAATTTTAACATCTCACCTAAATTCACAACTTCCAATAGTAATTTTCCTTAAAGACGCACTAATGAGTCATATCACTTCCTTTTTACATTTCCACACATCCAATCTTTGTCATTCTTTTCATTTTTCATTTTTTTTTTTTTTGCCTTTTATTTTTTCCCCCCATTGCATTGCTGCTATAAATAGATGCATAAACCACTTCTACCCTAAACTCCCTCTCTCTCTCTCTCTCTCACAAGCTAGTCATGACAACTTCTAGTGAATCTTTTCACAAGGTGAACTTTGCCACCCCAAGAAGCTTTGCCACAGCATTCAAATCTGACCTAAAAGAGACTCTCTTCCCTGACGATCCATTCCAGGAGTTCAAGAATGAGCCATTCTCAAGAAAAACCAAGAAAGCGATACAATACTTCGTTCCAATCTTCGATTGGCTTCCCAAATACAATTTAAGTCTGTTCAAGTATGATCTTCTAGCAGGGATCACCATTGCTAGCCTTGCTATACCTCAAGGAATCAGCTATGCCAAGCTCGCCAATATCCCTCCTATCATCGGCCTATGTAAGTTTTACGTGTCCAAATCACATATGTGATGTCACTGAACCCAAAAAAATTATTCAAAAAATTATCAAAATACATTTACTTAAATGGGCAAATTATAAACACATCTACTGAAATTTACTTAAATTACAAATTATTCCCTGTAATTTTAGAAATTACATTATGACCCTAAGGTTTCTAATTTCATAACAAATAGATCCTTTTATTAATAAATCATCAAGTTAATTAACAGTTTTTAATAATGTTAAAATTTTATTTCAATTAATAATTCAGATAATTTTATTATTGTATAGGTGAACAGTTAGAAATTTTACTTTTTTAATTAATTCTGTTAAATAAATTTTTTTGATAGGGAGGTATTTGTAATTTTCCAAATCACAAGAGACAATTCGTATTTTAAGCATACTTCAGGGGTGTACTTATAATTTACCCTACTTAAATTATTCTGAGTAGCGCCACATCATACCAAGGCTTGATTTGATGAATGTTTTTTTGTTTTTTTTTTCTTCTGTTTTTTTGCACTTTTAGTTTTTTAAAAATAAAGTTATTAGTAAAAAAATTGATATGTTTGAAAAATATTAAAAAATTATTTTTTGTTATTGAGAAACTTTAGGCGGTTGATTTTTTTAATAATAATAATATTATTATTTCGTGTGTTTTTAGTATTTTTTTGAATTATTTATTTTTACATTTAGACTAGAAGAACTTAAAAAAATTTAAAAATAATAATAAGAATTTTTAAAAAATCACTATTTTTTTTATAAAGAAATTGGAAAAAAGTCAATTTTTAGTATTCGCCAAATATAATGGATTTTGTTAAATCAACAGAAACTAAATAGTCAAATTAGTTTTGCTACTTATTTCAGCAAAATCTAAAAAAAAAAAAATTAAATTTAAATTTACACCACACATTTTTATTGTCGATAACTTTTTAGACTATTTTTTAGAACTCCCAAAATTTTCCAATTATATTATAATAATGATGGTTTTTGTTCAATTCAAGGGGTTGAAGACTCTTAATAAAACTTGTGTGATGCAGATTCAAGCTTTGTTCCACCACTTGTTTATGCCATTTTTGGAAGCTCAAAGCACCTAGCAGTTGGAACTGTTGCAGCATGTTCCTTGCTTATTGGCTCAATAATTGGAGAAAAAGTATCTCCAATTGATAATCCCAAGTTATATCTTGACTTGGTCTTCACTGCTACCTTCATCACAGGTCTGTTTCAAACGGCTTTGGGTTTCTTAAGGTAAGAAAGAGTCTTCAAAAAGTGATTCTGATTACTCGAGATCCACTTATTCAACTTATTATTAAATTATTAATGTCCTTTTTATTTAAATAAATCAAATTTGATCAAATTTTAAAATTCGTTATTTTTTAGTTAATTTGAATAATCTATTATTTGGCTCCATAAATTTATATTCATTATAAAAAAAAATTAAGTTATTTGAATTTGACTATTTATGTGCTCAATTAGAGTTTGCTTGAGATTAATACGAAATGTTAAAAAGCTAAATTTATTTAAGCTTAAATACATTTTAAAAATAATTAAATTTTCAAACTATACTTGAACTATTCACTACCCGATTCAACTCATTTGTTATTTAAATTGTGAAGTTTATTGAAAAGTATTATATTTTACTGATTTTTTTCATCATTTTGTATCACCTCGTACATGAATATTTAGCATTGGATTGCTATTTGAAGCCAAATGCTGGCACTTTTTTATTTTTTATTTTTTATTAAAAAAAAATATGATTGGCAATTGTATTGGCTCATTTTTCATAGAAAAATTAATCATTATTTGAAATATTTATTTCTCTAGTATGATGCATAGCATGAGTTGTAATTTAAAACACACATTATATATATCATTTGTCCTAAAAAAAATGAAAATAAAAATTAAACAATCAAAAAAAAAATTAAACGAAAAATTGAAGAAACTTAAAATTTAATTGTCGTTTCGTACAAGGTAATTGATTTTATGGGTCATTCACTACCAAAAAAAAAAAAGATTTTAGAGTCCAAAATTTAGGGGCAAAATCATTTTTTATGGACCAAATAATTTTATTGCGAAAAGTGTCATTCTATTTTTAGCAATAAAAATTAGACATTATTGATGAATTATTAATCTTTTGGGACGAAATTTTTTGTTTAAAAAAATAAACCATTTTGAAACCAAATTATTTCGTCCCTAAAAATCTATTTATTCGTTTACTTTTCGGGACGACCTTTTAGTGATTATCCTTATGACAGTGAAAATTGATTTTTAAATGTCTTTTGTAACAAAATTTTTACTTTTAGAAACCAAAATATTTGGTTTCTATAACTCTTATATGTTGTAATGATTTCATACAAGGCGATTGTTTCAAAAAATCAATTAAAATCAAAGGTGATTGAGGGGGGCAAGATGCCCCATGGTAAGGGCGCACACGTGACTGTGTGGGTAAGGCGCACGGTCACGGGTTCGATTTCTCACTGGGTGAGTGCTTGCAGCAGTTTGAAAGGGGTACACGGCTTCCCCCGTGCTACTTACCCCGCAGGATTAGTCATGGCTTCTCGAAAAACTAGAGGGTTGGGGATACCCGCGTTATAAAAAAAAAAAAAAATCAAAGGTGATTGATTTTTTTAAAATAATCATTAAAATGTATTGTAAATATTTATGGTTAGCATTAAAAATTTGTAAAGATGAATAATGATTTGTGAGTCATTATCAGACTTCAATAAACATAATTGCATTTATTACACCTTAATAGGACCAATAATATATTATTATGTACCCAATAATACAAAACAAAGAAAAAAAAATGTGATATATGGTCATTCTAAAAAAAAAAAAAAAAAAAAAAAAAATCTAAGAGTTTGAAAAATATTTTTGCAGTGATTAATTTATCAATGAAAGTTGGAATAAATTTTTTTGATAAATAAATTTGATGTACAAAATCGGCTCGTAACTACACTTATAATTGATAACATTTAAAAAATAAAATTCAACTGTTTACACTTCTTACATCATATTTCAATTAAAATTAGCACAAATAAATTAAAAATAAATCAAATCATGCAAATAAAAATCAAAATGTCTCAATCATTTATCACTTTGAAAATTTTCTTAGTATCATTACCCACACCAAATGATCATTCCACAAACACAAACCACATCTAAAAAGTCCTTAAAAAAATAGGATAAATTATAAATACACTTATAAACTTTGCTTAAAATATGAATTGCTTGTTGTGATTATGAAAATTACAAATACTCCTTATTAGAATTTTTTATTAACAGAATAAAAAAAAAAAATCCTAACTACTCTATTATACAACAATAAATTATCTAAATCACTATTTGAAATATATTTTTGACATTATTAAAAACAGTTAATTGACTTAATCATTTATTAATAAAATGGATCATTTGTTATGCGATTAAAAATTTGAAGGAGTGAGATAAATTTTCAGAATCACATAAGATAATCTATATTTGAAGCAAATTTCAGAAGATGTATTAGTAATTTATCCAAAATTTTATTATCAAAACGAAAGACAAATATATATATATATATATATATATATAATATTCAGAATTTATAAATAAATAAATAAAATAAAATAGGAACAGTGGTAATTATTTCTTAATTTTTATGTGCAGACTTGGAATATTGGTGGATTTTTTATCACATTCGACGATCACTGGTTTCATGGGTGGGACAGCGACGATTATCTGCCTCCAACAACTTAAGGGCATGTTTGGATTGAAACATTTTACAACAAAAACTGACGTTGTTTCTGTTTTACGTACAATTTTCAGTCATAGAAATGAGGTACACAAGCTGTCACACCTCTCTTCTACCCTTTTTTTTTTTTTTTTTTTTTCTGTTTTACGTACAATTTTCAGTCATAGAAATGAGGTACACAAGCTGTCACACCTCTCTTCTACCCTTTTTTTTTTTTATGGAGAATATTTACTTGTGTGTTTTGACTCCCCTTACTCATTCCATTTTGTGAAGGGTTTTATTAAAAGGGAAAGCTCCTCTCCAATTGGGGCTTTTTAATTGAAGGTATTGTTGGATTTTTTGGATTTATCATGAAACTCACATCGATAATTCAAATATTTGATATGTAAAATTTTTTGTGTATTTCATCCCTATAAAAATCACATTGATCGGATATTAATAACTACTTGATCAGATCACATCTGTGTCAACAATTTATTTTTAAAATCACACTTACTGTTGACACAAATTTGATCAGATTAAGTGATTATCAATATTTGATCAACTTGAGATTTTGTAAGGATGAAATACTTGACAAAGCCCTACACATTAAAAGGTTCAGATTATCGATATGTGCTCTATGGTGGGCTCACGGAGGCCTAATAGCCCGCTCTAATATGATTCCGAACTAAAGAGAAACCTCTACCTTTATTAAATATTGGTAGGCATATGGTGTAATAATATTTGTCTTAATAAAAAAAAAAGATTATGCTCAAAATTATATTTGTCAGTCTTTTCTTTCTTAGATCAAATATGTTTCAATATTGTGATTCTTGATATTTGATCAATTTAATTTTTTACATAAATAATATGCTTGATAAGTTATATAAAATGAATAATTTTGATTATTGAGACGAATCCTATATGGGACTACAACCTCTCAACTAGATCCTCTAGTCCGATTAAAGGAATGAAGTGAATTCTATCCGGAAAAAAAATTATGAATTAAATTCCGACTTTCATCCCACTTATGTAAGTGTCAACTGTTGATTTTTGTGTTTATTTATGTGTTTGTAGTATTTCAAAATAAAAAGTGTTAAAAATTTCAAAAGTTCTACTAAAATTTTTACTAAATGTTTCACATGGGTATGAAACCCATATGAAATCCATATGGTGTGAGCCTCACACCGATGTAAAATATTTGAAAAAAATTTTGATAAAACTTTTGAGATCTATAACATTACTCGTGTCCAACTAATCCTCAAGCATTATTTCTCAAAAGTATAAATTGCTAAAAAAATATCATATGCTTTTTTTTGTTGTTAATTTTACAGTGGAGATGGGAGAGCGCGGTCGTGGGTTTAATTTTCCTAGCTTTCCTCCAATTCACTAGATATGTTGTGAGTTTTTTCATCGTACTTATACAAACATAAATATGTCAATATGTTTATATCCTTAACCTAATTTTATCTATGGATGTGGATATTTACTCATGTACTTAGGTATACATATATATGGAAAATTTTAAATTTGCAGAAGCAAAAGAGAGCAAGGCTGTTTTGGGTATCGGCCATAGCTCCAATGCTGGTTGTCGCTACTGGCTGCCTTTTTGCTTATTTTGCTCATGCGGAGAAACATGGCATTCAAATTGTTAGTTTTCTTTTCCTTCTTCACCGTATCATGTCACACTACATATTTGGAAGGTAGCTTCATGCTTTATATGTATACTCATGCACATATATCAACTCTTTAATTAAAGGGGAAAAAAAATTACACATAGTACTTTTTATTTGTAAAAAAGTACACAAAATACAATGATGTCATTCATTCTTGATAGGACTCATAGTCCACCAGTATGAATGTTGTGGAACAAAAAATTATTCATAGTGCTACTAGCGTTGCTTGCGCATATATATATATATATATATATTACTTGAAAATCAAAATTCATTTCGATTAAAAAAAAATAGTTGCAAGAATTTTCAGAACTATAATTGGCATCCCATTAATATTCATCACTCTCCGTGTTCCTCGTGTCCAAGCTCTAAGTAACGTCGCTCAACCTAAGAGCAAAAAATTGTGAGCTACCCAATGCGTGTGTAGCTGGAAAATCCATCCGACGATCAAGTTAGCACATTTAGAAAAGAAGAAAGAGAGAAGAGACAAAATGCAGGTAGCTCTAATAACAAGAATTCCAGACCTGTGCATGGAGGCACTATACCGTTTATATAGTTTCTGCACGCACCACCCTGCTCATCCTTACCTAGACGTGTGGATGTACCGTCCTGTTGTCTCCTTCCACGTATAGAGACAAATACTGCCAAACACTAATGGCAAAACTGCCTAACAGTATTGACACGTACAAACGGTTGAATCTGATCACCTTCCAATTGGGCCACGTAGCAACTTCTGCCGAGCTATCTTTAACTCGGCATTGTGCCCATCTCTAGAATCATGCCTTCTGCTTGGTCGTGAAAGACATACTACAGATTGATTTGACTGAGCTAGCCGACCCCGGTTAGTCTTCTGCTCGGCTCTACCTAATCTACGAGTGAACTCATCTAGCCCTTAACTCTAGGTTAGACCGAGCTAGCACCTCGGTCAGGCAAGTACCCTTGATCCAACCGCGCTAACATCTCGGTCCCGTGCAAGGTCTCACTCGACCCGGGCTAAAATATCGGCCCAAGGCCAAATCTTCCTCGGCCAAGGCCCAAACTTGCTTGGCCCACCAAGCTAGAGTAAATTCCCCTCTCACATAGTGCTACTAGTGTTGCATGTGCATATATATATATATATATTACTTGAAAATCAAAATTCATTTGGATTAAAAAAAAAAAAATTAGTTGCATGAATTTTCAGAACTATAATTGTTATCCCATTAATTCAACAGTTGTTTATCTTTTTTTTTCTTTTGAGGGGAAAAAAAAAAAAGATAAATGAAAATTTTTAATGGGGTTTCATGATTGCTATATATGCATGACAATCCAAAATTTATAATGGTCATTCTTTTATGGACAAAATACGACAGTAATTCATGTATTTTGGTTTTTATGTCATTTTGGTGTCTGTAATTTTAATTGGTTCGATTTTGATCTTAAATTTATGACTTTATTTCAATTTAATCCAATTAATTATAATTCTTAGCATTTTTTTATATATATAAAATATACCCATATAAGTGGCATGTGCCATAGTTTTGAGAGAAGAATTATAAACTTAGGCCAAGTTTGGCATCTTCCAAAAAATTCAAAAAGTCAAAAAGTCACTATCTTATTTAAGTCACATCATCTCATTTAAGTCACATCACCTCTCTAACACATCACTTCAAACCCAATCCAAATCCAACCCATATTTCATAAAAAGTCAAAAAGTACACTTATTTAGTCTTTCTAAACTTGGCCTTACTTAACGCAGTGCGTTAATTTCAATCAATTCAGCGATTATTTTTCGTCAAAAACACTAATAACATTATCAGTTGAACCAAATTGATACAAAATCTAAAACTAATGATCAAAAATTAAATCGATTGAAAATGTAAAAACTAAAATGATATAAGGTACAAAATATAAGTAGCACTGGTGTAATTTGCCCTTCTTTTATTTATGTCTTGACTTTTTTGGGCTTCTCATATGTTGAAGGTGGGTGACTTGAAGAAAGGGATAAATCCAATCTCCCTTACGAATCTAAACTTTGATTCTAAGTATATATCAGCAGCTTTAAAAGCTGGGATCATCACTGCAATGGTGGCTCTCGCTGTAAGCGTTCTGATAGCGCCCTTTTCTTTCAGCTTAAATTTATGTTTCTATTAATATTGACTTTACTATAATATCATATTTAAAATGCTATTGCAGGAAGGAATAGCAATTGGGAGGAGTTTTGCAATAATGAAAAATGAACAAATTGATGGAAATAAGGAGATGATTGCTTTTGGTTTTATGAACATTGTTGGATCTTTCACTTCATGCTACTTGACTACTGGTACATGCCTACATGCTTTCTTGAACATATATATGACTTTTTTAATCTTAGAAAAATAAAAAGTTTTCTTTGGAGAGTAACTTTCAAGTGTATAGATATGATTAATTTGCAGGGCCATTCTCAAAAACTGCGATTAATTTCAATGCTGGGTGTAAGACAGCGATGGCGAATGTAGTTATGGCAATATGCATGATGTTGACGCTCCTATTCTTGGCTCCTTTGTTTAGTTACACCCCTCTTGTCGGACTTTCTGCCATTATCATGTCAGCGATGCTTGGTTTAATCGAGTATGAAAAAGCTTATCACCTATTCAAGACTGATAAGTTTGATTTTTGCATTTGCATGGTTGCATTCTTTGGTGTTGCCTTCGTAAGCATGGATGTTGGCCTCATGTTGTCGGTAAGGATTTTTTTTCAAAGTAATACAGCCTTGATTTTATGACATATATGTCTAGCAGGAGTTTTATACATTGAGCAAGACCTTTTTAATTTTACTATTTGAATATTATGTATAATTAAATGAACTTTCACTAATTTACACGAGTTCCCACTTGTTTAAAATAAGCTGACCAAATGGTTTGGTCTATTAATTGTGAATTGGATGGTATTGATCAAATATTTGACAAAGCCAAATCAATCCAAATTATTCAACTGTTCTATAATTTAAATTGAGGTGGTTACAATATGATTACCAAGTCACTAGACAAGCTTATTGTAATCCATGGTGATGGTGGAAGTGTGTCGACACGGGTACTTCGCCCCAAAGTGGCGAGTCCATGTAACAATCACTAGACAAGCTTATTGTAATCCATGGTGATGGTGGAAGTTGATAGCAACAAAGGATGTTGACTAGTGGTGGATGGGAGCAAAACTCAACAAGTTAGCAATGGAGATTTGGAAATTAGTCCCTGTAGCAATGCTTAGGCCAGTGTGGATATTAAGGAATGATTGTGTGTTCAATGGCTGCCTACCAAATCTGATTGAACTTGGTGAGATTGTGAAGTTGAGAGTTGCTCTATGGGCAAAATCCAATCTCACAGCCATTTCCTATTCTGCTCTTGATATTGTTTGAAACTTAGTCTCAGACTTTGTATTTGAGGGGATTGTTTCTAGTTGTTGCTTTTTTTGTTTTTTTGGCAACATAAAAAATACTCTATTAAAGAAATTCAAGGTACATTGTACAAAGACAAACATCAACTGCTAGCTTGGTGTTGTCATATTATTGTGTGTGCTTCTCGGTGCCAACTTAGTTGGGATCGTGTAGTACATTATGATGGCCTTTATTGATGAATAACTATTTATCATCAATAAGAGCTTTTTTTTGTTGATTAAAAAAAAAGAAAAGAAAAAATCGATTCAAGCTAAAATAAGTGGGATCATTGAGAATCGCAGAAAAGGCACATATTAGGCACAACTACAAATAAGTGGTAGAATAAAAAATAGGCATCCCACATCTACCTTACCCTTGTCTATTCCATGCTTTCTATGTGAGTTTTTTTTTTTTTTTTTTTTTTCACTTCAATTTCTCTATAAAACAAATGCATCAAATATGCAAGATCTCCCTTTCCCATTTCACCAAATTTAATGAGTACTACTTTTCTTTCTCTCTCTTTTTTATTTATTTATTTTATTTGAGTTTCAGGTAGGACTTGCCATACTTAGAGCACTTTTGTATGTAGCTAGGCCTGCTACTTGCAAACTTGGTAGCATATCAAACTCAACACTATATCGTGATGTAGAGCAGTATCCTGAGGCAACAGGAGTCCCCGGGATCCTTGTTCTACAACTTGGTTCCCCTTTATACTTTTCAAACTGCACTTACATTAGAGAAAGGTAATTTTGGCTTCAGATTTTCTAGTATTTCTGACAAGTTGATAAGTGTTGGTCATTTATGTATTCTATGCTTTGTTAACTTTGAGTAGGATTTTGAGATGGGTTAGAGATGAACAAGCTGCTACAAATTCTAAAGGGAATGATATTGAGCATGTTTTGCTAGATTTGGGAGGTATGCATGATAATCGATCCTGTAAATTCCAATCCAAGACTGACAATGTCCTAATTGGTCTGACAACAACTTTTAAGTTGGTTTCTTAGGTTTTTTAAGTGCCCCTTTTTTTTTTTTTTTTATAATCTTTACCAGTAATTTGTAGATAACTATTTTTTTTTATAGAATTTTAGTCTAAAATCACATAAAAGCTTTTTTTTTTTAAATGATATTATCTAAAAATTACAAAATCTGCTGCCAACCCAATAATATTTATGTCACATGAATAACACTACTATATGTATTGGTGTTGCTAATGTAAATGTGATTATATAGGGGTTACATCCATCGACATAACGGGTGTTGAAACCCTAATTGAGGTGTTTAAAAGCATGGAAGCAAGAGGGATTAAGGTGGGTTATTATTTTCTTATGTACCATTTACCATATATATTAAATTTCTTATGGTCTAAACTTATTCATTTTTTGCAGGTGGGTTTTGTAAACCCTAGGCTTGAGGTCTTGGAGAAGTTAACAGTAACAAAATTCATTGAAATAATTGGTAAAGAAGATGTGTTCTTATCGATCAAAGATGCAGTCGAGACATGCACATTTACACTTAGAAGTTCAAAGCAATTTGATGATGCGTAAGGTTGTAGTTGTGCAATTGATGATAGTGTAAGAAAAATCCTAAGGACATAAAAACTATGGCATATGTATATATCGTACTCAACTCCCCATGAGTGTTATGTGTCATTCTGTATCTCTAGCAAAACCGTGGCATAAGTGTAGTTAATGCACAAAGTTATTGGAATCAATGTGTTTGGCTTGGCTCAAAGAAAATATTTCTATATATACAAGCTTGCTACTCTGTACTAATTACGTATTATCATAATTCACTGATTTTCATTTTAATATCATGTATTAATAAATAAATAAAGCAATGATAAAGTGAGAAGGATGGATGCTACCAATCCGAGGAAAAAAGAAAAAAAGTCTAAGAGATCTAGGAGGATGGAGGCCAATAATTAGAAAGCAAGGATTTTGGAGACCAGTTTTCGATCTCCATCATCAAGGTTTGTTTACGGTTTTTGTGGATGAGATCTCAGAGTCCATGAAAGAATCTGTTTGGGCTATTCTCTCAGTTCGGAGTTGTGAAAGATGTCTATATACCCATGAAGAGAAGGAAGGCAACCGGATCAAGATTCGGGTTTGTGCGTTTTGATTACCTTGTGGCTGCTAAAGTGGTTGTGCAAAAAGCAAATGGATTATGGTGGGATAACAAGGAGCTCAAAGTAAAGTGAGCAGAGTATCAAAAAGGGCAAGGCATGCAGACAAACAAAAACAAGCTTCCTTTTTGGCATAGAGTGAGTCATCTACATGCCAATTCCATATCAGAGCAGGGTCCTCATTAGAGATTCCAAACAGTAGGGTTCAAGTCCTATGTCAAGGTGGTGAAAAAAGGAAACCCCTGACAAAATAGCTTGTTGTCCATCCATGCTAAGGAAGATGGGAATGCTTGGCTGTATGACAGCATATTTCGTAAACTTAAATCCTTTTTTTCCTTTTCTGATTTTGTGCAAGAATGCAGGCGAAGAGGGCTCAAGGACACAGTTATCCGAATGGGCAGTGGACGAGTAGTTGTGCTAACATTTAACTCAATACAAGAGATGAAGAGCTATGAAGAGAGTTTAAAGAAGTGGATCTTCGACTGGTGTGATTCATTACAGGAATAGAAAGCTGGCGCAGATATTGTTCAAGAGAGGTGTGTTTGGCTTAGTTGCTTTGGTATGCCTCTTAATTTATGGAATGTTGAAACTTTTAGAAGTATAGGAGCTTTATGGGGTGAAGTGGTCCAATTTGTGAGAATAGCACCAGAGGAATTTCCTTTCAACATGGTAAGGTTAGGATTATCACCAGTTGTATGGATTTTATCAATGGTGTAGTGATGGTAAAAAATAAAGGCCAAGATTACCCCATGAGAGTTTGCAAAAATTTTGATTTCTCTGTGGTAATGGAGAGGAGCCTATCCCACTGTTCTTGTAGACAGATGGGTAAAGGAGCATCTGTAAATGGGGATGATCAGAAGCAAAGAGATGTCCATGGCCCTATGTTAGAAGGCAGTGGAAGATGCAGTGATAAGGGGACATGTATGGAAGCATGCGTGGAGGAGGAGGTGGCCAACGGCAAAAAGGTCACATCACAGAGCACCAAAGCCGATGAAGATGATTAGAAAAGTTAGGTGTCAGAGACTGTAGCTGATGTAGTAGGTAGCAGTTTTGAAAAACTACTCAAAGGGGTTATTAGTAGACTGAGGGGAGGAAGGTTGGAAGAAAGAGTAGTACATCTGCATGTAGATAAACCTATTACACTAGATGAAGGTATCTGTACTCCAGGCTTCATGAAAAGTATTAATGGGTCTGAAAGGGAGAGGCCAAATATCAATTTAGAGGTGGTTATTAGCGAAGCCCAGTAGATGGTGTCTGGTGTTGGGCCTTCTGATGTGACTATTCCCATTTGTAACCTTTTAGCACATGTATCTAATTTTCTTAGTAACCGTATGGCCCAAGCCTTGAACAGTGCAGATGGGTCTAGTTCCTCTCAAGGTTCTCTAGTCAGCTCCTCTATTCGAATATAGAGTGGTGGAATAGGTAGCAGAAGCAAAGAGAAGCGAAGACTTAATCGCAAAGGTCATCCATATCCTAATTTTTTTCCAAAGGGGAGCCATCTTTAGGGCTGCTGCAGCTACTATATCCCAGTCATTTTTGCAAAAAAGTCAATCCAGTAGACTCAGTAGTAGAAGAAGAAAGTTAATGGAGGAAACACAAGGCACTATTATTCTTGGCAAATCTTTGGGCATCAATTTTGAAGGAAAGGACTCGGAAGTGATAAGCAAAATGGTTGATTTGGAAGTTAGAGATGCACAAAGAGTAGCAGGTGGTAATCCAAGTTTGGTGGATGGCAGCACTTAGCAGATCTATCAGCTAGGGGTTGTTGCAGCAAATATGTTTGTAATGAAGTTGTTATCCTGGAACATTAGAGGCTTGGGAAGATCGGAGAAAAGGTGTAGAATCAAAAGTATGGTCAAGGATAGGCAAATTGATATCCTACTTATTCAATAGACCAAGAGAAGTAATATTGAAGTTAGAGATGGAAAATCAGTATGGCCATGGGATAATATGGAGTTTTTGGCAGTGGATGCTGAAGGGAATTTAGAGGGACTGTTATGTATTTGGAATCTTGATGTATTCATTTTGTCATATTGTTGTAGCACCAGAAATCTCATTATCCTATCAAGTACCACTCATGACCTTTTTTAATGTGTTGTTCTTAACATTTATGCACCGACTGATGCTGTTAGGAGAAGGAAGCTTTAGGATTCAATTATCAATCTAAAACGACATTTTTTGAAGCCCTGGTGTCTGGGAGGGGATTTCAATGAGATAAGGTACATGTCTGATAAAAAAGGTTGTACGAGGAGAGACAGAGGTATGCTAGATTTTAATAATTTCATTGACCAATTGGCATTAGTTGATATCCCTCTGCTAGGTAGAAATTTCACTTGGTGCAACTCAATGAAAGGTGAAAGATGGAGTAAAATTGACCGATTTCTTCTAGAGCCAATCTAGTTGAAGTTTCTGATCATTGCCCCCTGCTGCTTATGGAGGATTTGAGAAATTAGGGTTCCAGGCCTTTTAAATTTATAAATGCTTGGCTTTTCCATTCCAAATTCTTAACAACAGTGGAGAAGTGTTGAGTGGAATCCTCTGTCCAAGTATGGGCCGGCTATAAACTGATGAGGAAGCTCAATTCCTTGAAATTGGAGTTGAAAAAATGGAATGTTGAAGGAAATGTGGTGAACCAACTGAAAAAGGCTGAAGATGATCTCCATGCTCTAGATATATTAGTTGAATTGCGACCACTTAGTACCCTAAAAATAACAAATAGGAGAGAAATTAGGAATCAGGTCTGGAAGCTCAGGAAGAGGAATGATCGGATTTGGTTCAAAAAATCTAGGTTGAATTGGGAACATAATGGGGATAAAAACACCAAATTTTTTCGTATCATTGCTAGTAAAAGGCAAACTAGAAACTTGTTGGATTCAGTGCTGTTTAATGGAATTAGATATGATGATCCTATGATAATCAAACAAGTAGTTTTAAGGCATTTTTCCCCAGCTTTTGCGTTGGGTTTGTAGACCAAAATTAGTTGGCTCATTTGTGACTCTAAGCTCAATCGAGGCTAGAGAGGTTTTGGAAGCTCCTTTTACCATGGAAGAAATTTGGAGGGTGGTGAAGGAAAGTAATGCGAACAAAGCCTCGGGCCAAATGGTTTTAACATGGGTTATGTCCAAAAGTGTTGGAAAGTGATGAAGGAAGATGTATTCCATTTCTTACAAGAGTTCCACTCCAATGGTAGATTGGTTAAAGGTCTGAATAGTTCATTTATTGCCCTTATTCTCAAGGTAGTTAGTCCTTCAAGCCTTGTGGATTTCAGATCAATCAGTTTATTGAACCCTGTATACAAAATCCTCTCCAAAGTTTTATCTCGTAGACTAAGCTTGGTGTTGCCAAATTTTATTAGTGAAGTTCAATCTGCATTCATAGGTGGTCATCATATCTTTGATGGCATCATGATAGCCAATGAGCTAGTGGATTGATGGAAAAAACACAAAAAGAGAGGGCTGATTCTGAAATTGGATTTTGAAAAAGCATATGATTTAGTTAACTGGAATTTTTTGTGGTCTATCCTAACAAATTTTGGTTTTGGGGATTTATGGGTTAGTTGGATGAAAGTGTGTGTGACCACAACTAGAATTTCTATCCTTGTTAATGGTTCTCTGACTGATGAATTCTCTCATAGTAAAGGGTTAAGGCAAGGAGATCCTCTTTCTCCAATCCTCTTTAATATTGTAGTGGAAGGTCTAAATTTGTTGTTGGCTAGAGCTAAAGATTTGGGGTTAATTAAGGGCATTTCAGTGGGTCATTCCGAGATTCAACTCACCCACCTACAATTTGTGGATGATACTCTACTATTTTGTGAAGCAGAAGAGACAAAGGTGGTGATTATTAAAAGAATTTTGAGATGCTTCAAGATTGTCTCAGGCCTGAAAATAAATTTTTGTAAGGGTGTGCTGTGTGGAGTAGGAATTGAGGAAACTCTTGCTTAGGTTTTTGCATCCAAACTCAATTGTCAAAGCCAAAAATTATCAATAAAGTATTTAGGACTACCTCTGCGGGCTAACACTAAGTCACGTAAGTCCTAGCAACCTGTGGTGGACAAAGTGAAGTCAAAATTGGCCCTTTGGAAAAGAAAGTTGCTCTCTTTTGCTGGTAGAGTAACCTTGATTAAGTTTGTCCTATCCAATTTACCATGTTACTATTTATCTATGTTCAAACTACCTGAGGGTGTGGCGAAAACTATTGATAGGCTACAAATAGCTTTTTTGTGAGGGAGCTCTGAACAAAAAAGAAAAGTACACCTTGTTAAATGGAAGGCGATCATAACTAGCCAGAAGCAAGGAGGATTAGGCATTGTGAATCTGAAAGAAATCAATAGTAGTCTTCTATTGAAATGGTGGTGGAGATATGGGGTAGAGGAAAAGGCATTATGGAAACAGGTTATTAGTAGTAGGAATGGAGCCATAGGAAAGGGTTGGTTACCTAATCTTGAGCCTTTTGGGAGGGTGTCTAATGTGTGGAATGAAATTCTATCTGGGGTAGAGGTTCATTCAGATTTACATATTTTTTTCCTATCCAGTATAGAAATCATTTTGGGTGATGGTAAGCGAGTGTTCTTTTGACTAGATAATTGGCTGAGGAATATTAAGCTTAAAGATGAATTCCCGAGGCTATTTAGTCTGTCTACTGAGAAGGAAG